TGAGGGCTGGGATTGTCGCACTAGAGGTCACACAGGTCGGAAACTCGGGACCCGCATACATGAACATAAGCTGGCCATCCGAAGAAGTGACCCATTGTCTCTCGTGTTCGCTCACGCTATGGATAATGACCACCGCTTCAATTGGGATGGAACTGAAGTGTGGCCACGGCTAATACAAAACAGGCACGATAATTTCTCGAAGATTGACATTCCAGCACAAACAGTATTAACAGGAATGTGGATCTTGATTCACATTACACCGGTTTGCGCGCATGGTTGACGAACTTGTGCCTCGCCTGAAATTACAGCAGTCGATTCATGCTCGGCCCAGTGGAACTTCACTGATTCTGCAGATCCCCCGAACACGGAGCTCACAATCAAGACGTTCACACCCTCCTCTGTTTCAGTTACAACACCTATCTTAGCAGTATTCGCGTCTTCATGCCCCCTCTCCCCGCACCCTCACTTCTGTTCTGTGTGATTCCTGCCTCCAAACCCTGTAGTGCAACAATCCCAGCCCTCACTTTTATTCCGTCTGATGAAGAGCCAGTGTCATTTCTACATGTATAATCTCGGAATGCATACTACTTCAGTTATTCAACTTATGCCTGTGTCATCTCCATTTCAGATGAAAATGTTGGCGAAGGTGAGGGCCCGTATGAGGAAATCACAGCTAAACCGGCAGATTGCATCAGGCGGACGTGCAGACACTGCCACCCACGTCTACTGTTGTACGGACTGTGGTCTGACTTACGCCCGGAAACAGTCTTTGGATCGGCACATTTCGGTTGTGCATCACCAGGAGGCAACCTTTGTCTGCGAGTACTGTGATTTTGAGGCCACTGACCGTACAACCTTCTCGGAGCACATGGCTCGTCATTTTAACCTGAAAGATGTCGCCTGTGAGGTTAGTTTTCCGGCCTCTGTGGTGTAGGCCAACTTTTAAATTTATCTTTGCCGCAAGTGTACCTAGCTGACTGAGAAGTTGTATGCGAAAGAGAGAAGCTGGGATCTTAGTTGCTGGTAATTATTGTCCGTGGCATGATCCGACCCCGTCTGGTTGAGCCCAGGCTGACTTAATTGTTAGGGGTTTTTGGCAGACTTGCTTAACTTATTTGATCCAATTGTGAGGAAACCCGCAGCCTCGGCGGATTCTAAGTGATTATTTGGGAAATCCTACTTGGGCAGCCAGCTTGCTGTTCCGTAATGGTGGATTCCATACGAGCGGTAAGTTGGGCGGGCGAAATCGATCCAAGTATGATTAAATTCCCGGCGCACGGCGTGCCTCGTAGCTCAATCGGTAGATCGTTGGCTGCGCAAACGCCTTCTTTGCTGTGCGTGTTCGACTCCCGATGAGGCCGCGAGTTTTTTCACAATTGGCTCAACTAAATTAAGCAAATCCGCCAAAACCTCCTAAAATGATGAACGTTCATCAACGAGTGTAAGCGAGTTCATGCCGTAGTTAGGGGAGTGCGGGGGGAGGGAGGCAATTGCAGTCATCGCTTTATGGTCTCGTGCATATAATAGGCCAACCGTCACGTACACGTCAGAAAGGCCTCTCAGGTAACTTACAAGGTCCGCTCAAGCCATCCAAATTCACGTTGACAGTGCGCGTTGGCTATAACACAGATGCGACCGCAATCAGATTATGCAACCTGCTACACCAAACCTCCCTACGGTGGATCTATCTCTCCTCCTCCATATTTTTGATAATGGAGCAGCCCCTCCCGACCAAGTTCCTTCGACTTCTCCTCCTCCTCGCCGCCGGGATTGAGGTCTACCCGGCGGGGCTCCGGATCCAACAAGGCCTACTAGCCAGCCAACAGTTCCCGGTGGCTACCAGCCACCCCCCCTCTAACGCTGATCGGAGGACACTCATCGCACAGCTGCTGGCGGGAGTTGACTGAGACCCTAGACAGAACAGGAAGAATGGATCCCGTAACTAACCAGAGAGGGTCAGTGTGAATATCTTCCCATCTAAACCGATGAGAATACGAGCTCCTGGCT